AAAAGAAACCAAATTAAAATTAGAAATGGAAATATTCAAGCGAGAAACAAATGAAACACTGGAATTGCACATAAAACAAAATAAATAACCAATTAACAGCGGCAACAGCCAGCCCCCCAGGAAATATTCCCCGAAAATCCAGTGCGAATTTCATTAATTAGCCATAATGTTTGGTGGATACATCAGTTGGGGGGGGACGTTGGGGGCTGTGGGAGACTGACCATTGGCTATTGGCATATCAGAAACACATGTCGCATGTCATGTGTGCCAAATGTGGCATGCAACATTTAACTGCAGAACAACAACCACAGCAGCAGCAGTAGCAGAGGCAGGAAACAGGCAAAAACAGAGCCATAAACGCGACTAATTGCCAGTGGAATGCCAGAAGGTCGGGTCGTGTCACTGTGGGTGGAATGGAATGGCAATTGGGCAACCGTTCGACGCACACATCAATACACTTGGAGAATGTTAGATGGATGGGATGCAGGCAAGGGAAATTGTTCAACTTCTCTTACAACTAGGTAGATATTTAATGGATAAAGTTTTTTCTTTACCTCACAACCGACACCGTTTATAGATCTGATTTCAGCCTTCGCTAAACAATCTTTTAAGCCAAATTTTTAATCGCTTGAGCACGCTTAAAGTAAACGTTTCGAAATGCTTTCGATTTCCCTTGAAACCTATTTTCGTTTAGGGGCATTTTTCCCGAGTGTAGAGCGGGAGAGCGTGGCTTGGGCTTGGGCACATAAGTAATAAGTATGTGACACAGATTGGCAGCTTGGACTCTCTGGCGCACGGCCCGTAAATTGGAGAAGAGCCCAGATTAACCGTTAATGGCCGCAAGTGGTGGAGGCTGCTGCTGCTGCTGCTGTTGCCACGCTTTTTGATTTTCGGCATTTAGTTACGCTTCCCAACACCAAAAACACAACTGTTTGGTCCGTCGTTCGGTCGGTCGGTCAGTGCTGGGAGCCATACGAGTATACCCATACCCCCCGCCCACCCCTTTAACTCGATTGACTCGTTTTTTCTTGTGTTCGCATTATTTTTTTTATTTTTTTTTGGGTATTTTGTTTCCCACTTGTTTTCTTGGCCAGGACAGGCCAAGACATAATAATGATGTTTGATGATGCGGTAACTGAACTGTCGATGCCGTATTTCGTGCCGTTTGCCTTCCACTGGCAATTTGCCGATGTTTATATGCCTATTTGAGGCCGTTTTTCAACTTGGCTTCATTCTCCGATTCCAATTTCAATTGACTTGTACAGTTTGCTCTTGGAAATGCGAACCGAAATCCTGCTCCACACCGACACCGTCGCCACCAGCGAAACCCCCCCGAAGATAAACATACATAGATACTAGTGTAGTCGATGGCGATTGCAGTTGGAGGTGGATGCTGCAGGGGATGGGGCTTGCAGCTGCATGGAGTGTATATCTGGGATCCCCAGAGATGCACACAGCCCCAAAATGAGTTCGGGGAATGGAATGCAATTTATATACGAGTATGTTGCAGTCATTAAGTGGAATTGATATTTGAATTGTCGGATAAAAAATCATTTGAAATTTTTGTGTACAGCGTTTGAAATTGGGAATAATATTTGGCTTTTCGTATAAACATTTCTAAAATAAACGGGGGCGGGCCCCCCCCCCCAGTCCAATTCGGTTCCCCCTTCCCTTCGCGGGGGGGGGGGGCCCCGGGGGCCGCGTCCCTTCCCCCGCCCCCGGGGGCCCCCCCGCCCGCGCAACAGACGGAGGTCGGCGGGATAAAAAAGGGACCACTTGCAGTACAGGTGTTTCGAGAATACATATTTAAATAAGTCGTTTGAAATTTAAACTAAAATTTAGATCTTGGAAAATACGGAGAAATCGGTTGAAGAAGTTTCCGTCTACTGAAGGTACAAAAGGTGCCCAAATTGGACGATAAAGCATAAAATGTTGTCTTGTGTATCCCTTTAACGAGAATTTCCTTCTATGCAAATATATTTAACAACATAAAGTAACACCATAAAACAAGGGTACAAAAAGGGTCCCAAGCAAAATTAAATGCGAGTACTAATGCGACAAGAGTTACAACACAAATAAATAAATAAATAACAATGAAAGAAACAACTACAAAAAATCCAAACAAATCAAGCTGAAGTCATGCGTATTAAATACCGACGAAAAACAACAAAATCGAATGCACGCGGAGCAGAAGAAAAAATTCAAATCGACGCGCACGAAACTAAATTGCAGGCAATCATTTGGAAATACATACAACAAAAGTTTAAAAAAATCAAGAGTAAAAGTTACGATTTGGGAAACGAAGCATAAAATACTCTTTTAGAACGATTTTTTCTATATAAATCTTGAATTAAGTTCAAACTGTTCGAGCTTTAATTTATTATTGTGTGTTTAAATTTGTAAAGTTTACTTACAGTATGTATCAAACGAACCCCGAAGGTTTTGTTTTGCTCACTAAGACTTTCCTTATGATCGTTTGGAAAGAGCGTTTATATTTATATAACTGATATTGTGATTTGAATTGAATTAAAATTGGAAATAATTATCAGAATAATTATCAGATTCTAGAAGTAGTAGCTCTGAAGAATTTAACTTGGTAAATTTCAGCAAGATATCTTTATAGATATCAAGATGTATGACAGACAAAATAGTACCAGTATAAGCATATAAATTACATTCCAAAGGAACTGTATGCACTCTGCTCTGATTTGCAAACTTCTAGATAACTCCGCAATACCCTGTATAAGGGGATCACAACACACACATACTACATGCTACATTCATGTGTACGCAGTCACGATTAAGAGCTCGTGTATGTGTGTGTTTATGTTTATGTTATTTAGGTCTGCGTAAACGGTTTCGGTTAGTGATTCATGTTGCTAAATACAGCTATATTAAAGCGGACATTTATCGCCATCGATATCTTTCACTCGCGAAAAACGAACAAAAAAAAAAACAGAAAAAAACTAAAAAGATTGTGCCACTTGTGTAATTATTCCATTTGACATGTGGCGGGGAGTGCTGTCTACAGGGGTATGGGTTCGGATTGGATTCGATTCGATTCGTTTCGAGGGGGGTCTGGGGACACACTCTTTGATTTACAGCGATCAGCGAATGGAATCAGTGCAACTAACAGTGCAACCTGTTTCGGTGGAAGGGGCACACACTCCCACACACACACACACACACACACACACACACACACACACTGTGGAAAACCAGTCTGAAATGCAGCCTGAAAATTGGTCCGCAAATGGTTTTCCTCCTCCTGTATCCAACTGCATCCCTCTCTCCACTCAACTGTGGCACTGACCACAGCATCGACATCCAGCGAGCGAACGAACGGGACACTTAACGTTTTGGCCATTGACAACGATTAAAAACAAGTTCTCTCCTCGGGTCTCTCCCTCTTCCTTTCACCAGATGGGGAAGAGCAAACCGGGAGTGGGACTATGGACTGGAAGCGAAACCGGGACCAGGGCACTTGTCCACCCAGTGGACGTCCCGCGCTCACTTGTTTGCTTAACCGTTGAGCGGCCTCGCCTCGACTCGACTCCTGCTGGCACGCTTCCTCTCCCACTCTGTGCCGCTGCCCCAGAATCCCCCTCTGTCACAGCCGTTCCCACCCATTGCTGGCATTGCTGACCCACATACAAAAGACATTCAATCGACGACGAACTGTTTTCTTTTTATACCCTAACATTGGGAGTACATATTACTCTTTTCATCAGGCATCGTTCATAGCAGAGAGGAGAGATCATTTCTGATCGAAATCTACTTCCTTTATTCTTTGGAATATCCATCTCTACCGATTAGTTAAATAAGTTTTTGACAAAGATATCAAAGTTGAAGTCAAAACTAATACTTACACCCATCCTATGAAAAGTAAGAGCATACAATCCTCGGCGCCCTGAACTTTGCTTTGCTGAATTTTTTCGATTCTCTTTTGCCTCCTCCCGCCTGAGCGGTCGCTTCGCTTTTATGGCCTTGAGTGGCTAGGGTATTATGGTTCTCATACAAGGCTGCTCAAGTGTGACCAAGGAGTCTTCTTGTGGCCGTATTTGAATGTGTGTGCAGTGGAGGATAATTTCGTTTCAACTCTAGAAATTGTTAACTTTGTGGGCAAAAAACTTAAAGTTGCTTTAAATGTATATCAAGCCGAAAGCTATCGATCTATTGTATTTAAAGGGTACCTGTGAGTCGTTACTCCTTTGTTAATCCTTCGTTTCTTGTTATAAATAAATATAAAACGTCACTGGCTGCAAAAAGGAGACAGGTAGAGTCCAAGCAACCGCCTATCTGCACGGGGAGTGAGGGAGTGTGTTGAATGTGTGAGTCTGCGATGATTTACTGTTGTGGCCAGCTATGCGCATACACATACTCGCAGGGAGAGAGAGGGAGACAAACAGCAGAGCCAGAGAGAGGCTTAACTGCAGAGAGCAGAGGAGTTCGTCTGTCTGGCTATCCACTTCATCTTCCTTGTCGGTTCTCCTGCTGGTGATTCTGTGCCCATTCGAACGTTACCTACACATACATATGTACATATGTGCATATGTACATATGTATGTATGTGTGTACACACATCTAGTTGGCTTGTTAGCCAGTGTACGGTACTTTGCTTTCATACAGGTGAACAGACAGCGACGGAGAGAGAAAAAAGCCCAAAGTCCATATCAAAGCGTGCTAAAATGTTTCAATTTCGATAGGAACTAAAGAGAATATGTGAGGAGAGAAAGGAATGTTTAAGTGCAGGTTTCAATGTTTCAACTGAGGGTTAAATGGGTAAGCCATAATTGGTCGGTTCTTATAAATATTCAGCATTTTAGCCCCAAGCCGATTATACGAGTAACAGAGGCAAATCTGTCCAAGAAAGGGGATAAATAAAACACCTTTACCCTGGAGACATTGTGCGCAAAGGGGGAAATGTTCTTTTCGTACTTTTTCTAATATTTTGAAGAACCAGTAGGCGTTTCTTGAATCAGTAGGTCACATAAATGGTTAGACTTTATTCATTTAGTCATTGCTTGACAAGACATAGCCCCAACAAAATTCAATAAATATTTAACCATTTGAAAATAATTTTTTTTTGGCAATACCGCACCCTAAATTCATTAAGATCGAAAATGTGTGACGAGGGTAATTCTGTTTTGGTCATTGACAATGGTTCGGGGATGTGCAAAGTCGGATTTGGCGGCGATGATGTGCCCACTGCCATCTTCCCATCGATTGTCGGCCGTCCCCGTCATATGTCGGCAATGTTTGGAATTGGCGTAAACAAATCGTATGGCGGCACTGACGACGCCTATGTGGGCGATGAGGCGCAGAAATCCCGTGGTGTGCTGGCCCTGCGGTATCCCATCGAGCGTGGCATTGTCGTTGACTGGGATGAGATGGAGAAGATCTGGCATTACACCTTCCACACTGCTCTCAAGGTGGCGCCAGATGAGCATCCTGTGCTGCTGACGGAGCCGCCGCTCAACCAGAAGGCCAGCCGCGAGACGATGACCCAGATCATGTTCGAGAAGTTCGACACTCCGGCCATGTATCTGGCCGTCCAGGCGGTGCTCACCCTCTACTCCTCGGGTCGCATCACCGGCATGGTAGTGGACTCTGGCGATGGCATCACCCACACCACTCCCGTCTTCGAGGGCTATGCCCTGCCGCACGGCGTCTCGCGTTTGGAGCTGGCAGGCTGCGACCTCACCGATTACCTGATGCGGATCCTGTATGAGCGTGGCAACTCGTTCTGCACCACCGCCGAGCGGGAAATTGTGCGCGATCTCAAGGAGCAGCATTGCTATGTCGCCGAGGACTTCCAGCAGGAGATGGACAACCCATCGGACAGTTCGTCGCTGGAGGAAACCTACCAGCTACCCGATGGACAGGTTGTTTCGGTGGGAAACGAGCGTTTTCGTTGTCCCGAGGCGATGTTCCAGCCCGCCCTCCTGGGCGTGGAGTCCAGTGGCATTCACGAGACCACCTATAGCTCCATTTTGAAGTGTGAGGTGGATATTCGCAAGAGCCTCTACAGCAACATTGTCCTCGCCGGTGGCACCACCATGCTCAAGGGCTTGCCGGAGCGCATGCTGAAGGAAATGACCCGCCTGGCACCATCCACCATGGATATCAATATAGCAGCACCTTCAGATCGCAAGATCTCCGTGTGGCTCGGTGGCTCGATCCTCTCCTCGCTCACATCGTTCCAGCACATGTGGATTACCAAACAGGATTACGACGAAATGGGTGCATCCATAGTGCACCGCAGCTGTGCCTAAGGGAAGGAAAAATTGAAGCAGTGTACTAAATTTATTGCAAATTTCAAACATAAATAAATCAACAGTTTCTTATTCGTATGCCTTACTTATTTTATACCAAAGTCATGTGGATATATACCAATTAAACCTATGAACTCTTACAATACATACTCTAGAAAAAGCCTGGCAAATTTGTTTAAAAAAATCGGGCTACGGCCAGGGCTATCAAGTCTTTGTACCCCCCTCCAGCAGCTCGGAAAAAAAATAACAGCAACACTAAAATTTACATTCTAAAAATTACAAAATTAAACAATTTTCTGTCAGTGAAACTAAAAGTTTTATCACTCAGTTTTATCACTCGTTAGCAACAGTCACCTTGTTTTGGATCCCCATAAAACCCGCTAGGAAGTCACACGGTGCCAATCTTTACGCTCTTTTTGAACTATCTGCCGCAGTGAGTCAGTCAGTGAGTCATTCCTCTTCTTATGTGTGATTATGAGGCTGACTGAAAGCTGGCTCTGGTGGAGATTCTTTGCATAGCCCCTGTGCCAGGTGTTCCAGGAAGTTCCAGGAAGTTTTGGCCCTGGGCAATGGCCGACCTGGCTCCCACGCAACGTGACGATCAAGTAAGAAACACCTGCAGAGCGCAGGATAAAGCAGTTCAAATATCCTTTGTTGGTGGTCCTGGCCTTGTACTTTTGACGGAGTTCTGACTTCTTGGCTTTACACTTTATACTCAGTGTGTAATTTTAACGAGCCTGTTGAGTATAATTTATGTACGTATTATTTTCAAAAGTATTCCCTCAGGTCTTTTACTGTATAAGAACTCTTATAATAATTTTGTGCGTGCATTGATCCCCAATTGAAATTTCAATGCAAATGCATACGATGCGTGTTCCCAGAGGGCTCTAACAAATATGGGAACAAATATTCATATTCAGGCCAATGCGTGTGGGGGGAGGGGACGGCCTAGTCGACGAGTCTTTGACCCGATCTCGGAAGGCTCTACCAGCACCACCCTGTCGTTGGCAATCAAAAGCATCGTTTGTTTTGGACTCAGAGATGACTCTTCAACTAAGCGAGATGGTACAATGAACTTTTGCCGAGACTGTACAGAAGGGGGCCAGCGAAACGGCGACGGGGACTCGACTTTTGCAAGGCAAGCAGAAACATCAGAGTGCAGACCGGAGACGAGAGACGAGAGACCAGGGCAAGGCTGACTCTGTTGCGTCGACTGCGGCTGTTTGCATTTAAATTTTTCACATTCAATTCATTTGAGGCGGCTCGACGGGGCACACACAAAAAAAAAAAAGGAAAAAAGATGAAGAAGAAAACTGCAAACAAAGTTACAAAAGCAAAAGGGGTTATGAGAAGAGGGGTGGGCCAGCGGGAAAGCGGCGGCTGAGAGCCAGGCTAAATGCTGCAAAAATGAAGCTAATACTTATGTTGCAACTAGGGCTACTACCCTCCCCCTTCCACCATCCCACTGTGGCAACCTCTGTGGCAGGCTTCATCTCGTTCACCTGCAATGACTGGCTGGCTTCTCCATCATCATCATTCTCATACTCGTAGGGTTTTTTTCACCATTTTTCTGTTAGCCCAGAAGTTACCTTTTGTTCACGCCCACTCCAGTGCATTGTGTGGGCGTGGCAAACATATGAAAGTACAAGCTTTGCGGCATGTGTGTGTGTGTGTGTCTGCGTGTATACTCGTGTTCCCATTTTATTCATTTCGCTAACTTGCTCTTTTATAGCAGTTCCTCTGCCTTCTGCGAAACATCTTTCTCTCCCTTGTGGTCGCTTGAAAGCCCCAAAGCTTCCATCATCAACCATTTTTGGGGGGCGAACGGTTAAAGGTTAAAGTGTAGCCGCAAATTAAGGAAGAGTTAAGAATTGTTCAGAGAGTTGGTTGGGAAAAAATGCTTCATTGGGAGTAGTTATATAAAAGGGTTATTGAAGAAGCCAGAAAAGAAGTTAGTGCTTGTGAAAATGGAAATAAGAGTGATAATTCTGTATTAAACTTTGCTCAGGAACCTTTAGAGTTACGGTTTTTTTTGGGATAGGAGCCGTCTTAAAAGTCTTCCAACTCTTAACTACTCTCCATATTGCCACTGCCAAATTAAGACTTCGCACACGCTGCCATAAATTTAAACTGTTGTTACATGCACACTCTGAAAATCTGTTTCCGCTCTTTTCGAACTAACAAATCTTCCCAAACAATCAACTGACAATCAAATTAGTGAAATCATCTTGAAGAAATGTCTTTTCAAAGATCTTTAAATGCGTCTCATTAGTGGCACAAGCAACATTTACACTGAACAGTAGATTTCATTTCACCACAGAGCGAATCTTCAATGCAAACATTGACAAGGCAAATCTTTGGCACCTTCACAAAGATTTGCTTTTGACAGAATTTCGTGAAAACTTTCTCAAAAGCCGCCGCAGAGACGAAGGCGAAGCAGTAGCAGCGGCACTGGCAACCCTTTTTAGTGAATGGCCAATGTTGAATTGGCCACAAATAATTAGCACTTGAAGTGTGGGGCAGAAGTAGAAGAACTCAATGAATGCCAAGGAAATTAGCAAGTCGCATTCCAAAGTCTGTGCAATACAGTGCGTTTCATAATAAAAAAATTGACATTAATTCTAGGGTTTTTCCAAGGTTAATAAAAGGGAGAGATTTCACATGTGTATTTTGCCTATGTTTATGTCGCATAGTGTTCGTGTAACATAGCCTTCTAAATCTCTCGCCGCTCTCACCCTGCCATAACCCTCTTCAGATTCCTTTCATTATGCTGGGCACGCATTCGCCATGAGTTGTGGCAGAGTTTATCTGGTGCGACGCCGTGCGCTAGTCCTTGATAAGGACCCTCTCCTTGGTCCCCAGTACCCATTCATTTTCGCATATTTACTTTATTAAACTGTGTGACCCCAATACAAGGACGCGCCGAGGATAATATTTGGGTTGAAAAATTGTGCCACGGCAAGTTTAAGATGTGTGAAACTGGTTTAAAACTGCTTCAATCGTCTTGGAAATATATTTATTCCATATTTGGTTCATTTGTAACAAGTGGTACACTTTTTAAACTCACTGTTCGTCTGCTGTTCATGAAAGGTCCCTCAACCAACAAAATATTCCCATCCGCAGTTTGTTCTGGACATAAATAACGTATACGCCGCATCGGACAGCCAGCCTCCTCTGCTACAGCACTATCTCTGCCTGCAACAACCCACCCCACCACACCCCACATTCACTCCATCCACTCTCTTTTCAAAGCATATTCTTTGAGTCGTTTATCATATTTCATGGCGTTGACACTTTCACTTGTTTCAGACAATAAACTGAACCAAAAAACAGAAACACGAACAACCAAACAGCAACAAAAACAACAGACAATAAAGAAACAAAAAAAACTGAACCATTGACAAGTCAATTTTGTATGGAACCCCGCCTCAAAATATACGCTTATACCCGCCCAAAAATTTCAGGCTCGTTATGGCCCTGTCAAATTTATTAGTTTCGATATAATTTGACAACAAGAAAATGTTGTACATTTACCTATTTTGTAGCCCTCAGCCATGGTACATTTATCAATGTGTTTGACCTCTTCTTTGGGTTGCTCCCATGCCCTGTACCCGGAGGAGGGTGTTATGATTTTGATGAGCACTTTGGTGCTCCTAGAGCAATGCGTAAGATTTTCTATAAGTAGAGATATACACAAGATCTATATTTACATATCTACTAAGAATAAAATAGTAGTTTTGAAGGGAGTTCTCTTCTCTTTACAATAGGCTTATTATTTATTAAAATCAAATGACTTTTAATGCGCTTATCCATCATATATTTTTGATTTTTTAACAATATAATTTCTTCATCATCCTCATAAATTACCCTAAAAATCGCATCACTTTTTATTACCTGCCATAAAAGAAATTGTGACAAGTGGATGTACAGAGGGAGCTCCTCTGCCATCTCTCATGCATTTTGTGTTCATGTTTTAACTGTGGGGCTCTTAACAGGAATTTATGTTTATTGCACGGAGACCTTGGCCAGAAATTAACATAAATTGCACTGTCATTACAAAACAACAGCAACACCAAAAGAAAAAAAAAAAACAAAGATACTCAAAGAAGAAGAAAAAAAACGAACAACATAAAGTAATGCAAAAATGAGACAATAAATACAATATGAAAATACAGTTATTTATCATAATTGCGGCTCTGCGGCATTCATTTCAGTTCATTTCGGTTCACTCTCGTTCGGTCGCCGTCGCCGTCGACGTCATCGTCAACGTCAGTGAAATTTTTGCTTTCATCTTCGCGCGGCAGAGGCGACAAAAACAAAAGTAAAGCGTGTAGAAAGGGGTGGAGAAAGAAAAGAGAAAGAGCTCAAAGAGCAAAGCAAAAGTGAAGTGAAGTGAAGTTAGTTAGAGATGGATTATAGTAGAGCAGCAAGCCTCCATTCATTTCGTGCGTGATCGTGCATGTCTTAGCAGAAGTAGAGGAAGAAATTAATCCTTAAAAACAGAAGGATAATTTGCTGATTAATTTATTATCTGTTAAATTAGAGATCGCTACCATATATGAGTAGTAAAGTAAATAAAAGTAATGATACCAGATGAGCTTCCATCCTTATAGGAATAGAGCCTATGCTTCAGCCAAAATGTATGTCCTTTGACTATTCTCTTCAATATTGAAGGAATATCCTCGGATCCGTTCTGGGAGTCTTTAGTTTTGAAACTTTAAAAACTCTCATTTCGTGTCATCCCACAACGATACTCTCTCCCATCTCTAATATCTTTTGTCGTCCATCTGCATCTGCATTTGTCCACTTTGCTTGCTCTGGTTTATGTTTCTCTTATTTCATTGCCTTCGCTTCGCTTCTTCTTGTTTATTTCTTTCTTTCTTTCTGTGTTGTTACATTTTTGTAATGCTTTTGATGTCTTCATTGTGGCGAATGAGCTCGTTTTTTTATTGTTATTATTTTTATTATTTCGCTGATGAACTTAATTAACATTTGGCACGACTTTCAATGTCAATGGCAATCTCACTCTCTGCTGCAGTTCGATGTGGTGCCTGTACCTCCGCAGCAAATGC